ATTCTCTTGGTGATGGAAGAATTCTTCGTTATCGTGTTCTCCAAGATCGTATAGATCCCTCCAATCGGCGTCTTGGAGAGGAATGTAAGAAGGTCCCTGAGCCCAGCGGACAACAGGAAATAGGATAACCCCAACGGGAGGGTCGTCTGGTGATGACAGGGTGATAGAGATAACTAGAGCGACAAAGTCAGCCCCAGATTCTCTGCAGACCAAGAAACAAAATCCCGAGTGCCAAATCTCTGAAACGAGAACGACCAAGCGTCCCCATCCCATCCATGATGCCCATATACGCGCGGGGAATGATAACGAAATAAAGCGGTATAGTAAGTGCCCATATTTGTATCAAAGTAACGTAACTATATACGTCAGCGGCGGCAGTACCCGACGGTGATTACTGCCCTCGCAGTCCGTCACTGGCCAAGGGACACGTGCCCAAGGCCGTCCCAAGCACCGGGTTTGGCCGCCCATCTTCTCCCTTTTAAAGACATGCATACACGCAGAGCGTCATTGCATGAATCCTCGTAGTGTCACCAGCCCGCAGGGTCCCTTGTGAGGAATGCGAGTCAACCCCGAAGGATTGTTTTGCCTGGCGGAGGGATTGACCTCCAGCAGCTGTTGAGAGCTACCACACCACCTAGGCGCTTCGCGCAAGGTTCAGGAGTGGGATTGACCAAAGGACCAGTGCCTGGTGGGTATGTCCGCTGTACAATAAAAAGATGTAACGTAAAACGCGCGCGAGCAATCATGGACGGAATAGCTAACGGCGCGTCTGCCAACTGAATGACTCCCTGACGCCGCTCGCGTAACCCCTTGAGGGTGAGAGCACAAATGCGAGGACCGACATCCAGCAAGTGGGACGAGCGCACAAAGACGGCGCTCTAGAAGGGCTGAACGAGTGAAAGATACTCGCCTTAGTAAAGGGAGTAGTTCGATGTTTCTTGATTTGCCACTAGTGGTTCAGGCGGGGCCCATAACCTGTCGCAGACAATACCGCGCAGTGGAGATACGACCAGTAGCGATCACCTATAAGACAGAGTCTCAGCGAGTGTAGAGACACAGGAGCTATATCATTAGCTGTACCTATAAGACAGAGTCTATGGTACAAGTCATAAGTAAGGTCATTAGATCGTAAGGGAGAATGCATACCTCAGCGAGTGTAGAGACACAGGAGCTGAGGATATGGAGCGTATAGTACTAGGTTTATATACCAGTCTGGAGCAGATATCATGATGTCATAGTGGAGTAATGATATCATAGATGAGTAATGGATGACGCAATAATGAGGTCAGGTATGAGGTCATTGTGGAGTGAGCCAAAGTAATCTAAGAATACTACTTATGATGTCATGTCTACATACTGTGATAGTCGCTAATACAAACAAGCTTCAACATCATCTTCAGGGTAGATGTTTTGACAATATTGTTGGTACTTACTCATTCTGAACATCCCATATGTAGCTTTCAAGATATTTCGGGCAATTTTAGGAGGCGTGACCATCCGGAGTGAGCGCGGGGAGGCTACAGGATGTGGGTCTGAGGGCGGTTCAAGGCGAGAGTTGGAGACGAGAATTGACCGATTGAACTCATTGAAAAGGGATGCTGATGGTCTTTGGCGTGGTTTCGGCCTTGCTTTCACATCAGCTGTCAGTGTCATGTGATCCACTTTTTTTTGGTCTTGGACGGAAAACTACACAGGCGCGATGGTCACTACAATCTACTACAATCATGTGATCATTCCCAAACGTCACAGGCGCTGCAGCGTCAAAGGCATGGCTGGGCCCGCGGCACCCTCAGTCCATGGCATCTGGATGTTCGCCAGCTTCCATATGATCTCTTCTTTCGGGAGACTGATCCGGAAGTTGTCGAGCAGAACACAGATCATCACTTCTGCAATGGATGGATCAGTGAGTGCGCTCACATCTGCGCGTTATCACCTACTCATTTCCAACTGTGCGAACTTGATGCCGATGCAGGCGCGCCCGCCGCCGAGGAAACTCATCGTACCAGCGTAGATGCTCGGCAGATGGGCGGTGGCCGCGCTCTTGGGCACACCGTTTGCCCACCGATCAGGTTTCCACTCGTTCGCGTCGGGACCCCAGATCTTCGGGTCGCGATTCGCCGCTGCGATCCCAATGTGCACGTTTTGGTTCTCAGCGACGGGAATCTCGGTGATCGTCCTGCCGTCGGTGCCGGTCAGCGGATAGAGCAGAGGGAGAACAGAAGCGGAGCGGGCTCTGAGGGGAGATGAGACTCTTGTGTGGACGAAAGCTGCTCGTGGCTTACGTGCGGGTCATGAAGGTCACTGCGGCATGCAGTCGGAGCGTCTCCCGGCAGACGTTCTCGAGGAACGGTAGCTCCATCAGCAAGTCGTATCCGAGTTCGCGGTTCCCGTGCTCCCTCTCCCAGGTGTCCAGTGCGTCCTTGATTTCGGCGCGGAGACGGTCTTGCACGTCGGGATAGATGCAGAGGAGGTGGAGAATGTGGGCGATCGTCGAGGAAGTTGTGTCGTGTGATGTGAAAACGAGCGTCGTCAACTGGGCCAGGACTTCTGCGTCGGGCATCACGTCTTGCGTCGAAGCGCCGTGCATGGCTCGCACTGGATGCATTCGTCAGGGACGCGCCCAGCGGCTAGAGATCACAGCTCGTCACTTACTCAGAATGCTGACGATGTCGCGCCCGTGTCCGACCTGTTCCAGAACCTTCTCGTCGCCCATCAGCATCGCCTTCTTCTTGGACTCGAAGATCGCCAGCGTCGTGCTGTGCATCTCGTCGACGATGTCGCGCAGCTTGTGCAGCCGGCGGCTGGGTGTGACGTCGACGAGCCAGCGCCGGAAGCCAGGTGTGCCGATCTTGAGGATGAACGGCAGGATCTGGCGCTCGATCTGCAGCGAGAAGATGGTCGGAATCAGGCCTCGTAGTGCTGTCCTGAAGGCGGTGTTGGGATCGCGGTCTTCCTCGAGCGCCTCGAAAGAGTGGCCGAGTCCACCCTGTCCGATGACCTCGAGCGCAGTCCTCATGATGAGATCGAGCATGTCCATTTCGGCGGGGCCGGATTTGGTCTTGACGTTGATGAGATGGACCATCTTGGGGGTAGCACGGGAGTCAGACAGGGAGCCAAAAGTCAGTGTGACGCGACCGACTGACTTTGTTGGCGACCTCAAACACAGCCGGACAGAGCTCGCGCATGTTCTTGCTGGAGAAGATCGGGTTGAGGATGCGACGCTGGTTCCGATGGTGGTCAGTCACGGTCGAGAGCAGACCGTCGCCGAAGATGACTCCATTTCCCCTGCGACGTGGATTGTGAGCAAATGGGCAGGCACAGCGCCTCTGAAAGTACGCACTGAACGAACATCTTTGTCTGTTCAAAGACGTCCTGCTCCTTGACCGTGATCTGATGGAGCGCCAGTGGATCGGCAACATACAAGTGCTCGTCCTGCGCAAATGTCAGCCTTGATTATGTGCACGGAAATCTACGCGAGCCCGACCCCCATGATGCCGTTGATTTTGACGACGCTCCCGTAGTTCTGGGTGAGATCGTGGTGCCAGGACATCCCGGCGGGATTGTACAGAAACGACAAGTGGCCTGTCCGCCACGACTTGGACGGGGGACCTGGGAGATTGCGCAGTGGTGACTTGACGACGGCGCGACGGTAGATGAGCCATGTGAGCCGGGCTACACCAAGGACAGCGAGAACAGCCAGTGCTTTCCACATGTTGAGGGGAAGTACAGGGATGTTGAGTTTTTGGATGTCGAGTTCAATCCATGGGAGTGTTTATGTGGGTTCGGAACTGGCGTACGGATCTCGATCATCTCTCAAAGACATGGCGACGAGGTGAATGAGAAATGAGATGCTCTCTGATGGATTCACAACGTCATAACATTGTTGTATCACATGTGAATGAATCACAGAAGTCTGCATTCAACCCTCGGATGAAGGCTGTCGTGTTTCAATCTCCTTTTGTCTTCAAAGCAGAGTGTGCCGAAGCGCCTTTGCACCCGGAATGGTTCTTGGACTACCATGACGCATTTGGGCTCTTCCAAGACCAAATTGAAGGCCGCTGATTCGGATGCAATGCCAAATCCGCCGAGGAGCCGTTTCGCTTACATCTCCCTCTAGCCTTCACTCGATCCAGAAATAGGTGGATGCCATCCTTAGTTAGCATAAAATTGTGCACTCGACCAATCAAATGGCCAAGTCTCGGCCCAAACACGCGCAAGTCGGTCATTCATCTATTCGACCGTAAATACGGCCGTGATTTATGTAATCCAATGAGTGCATTGCTTCTTTCTTGGAATTCGCTTGGACCTGGTCAGGAAGTGACGTATAACAGGGGGGAGAGAAATGAGCGAAATATCTGCGTAGCTGATCACAATGGTCCCGGGTGATCGGCCTCCACACGAGTCAATGGTACCAAACATGTTGCTCCGATAAAGATCAGGATCTAGGCGAAGACAATCCAAAGATCTCGAGAGCACTGAGAACCTTGATCTAGATTTCTGCATCCGAACGTGAGAATCGAGATCGACCAACAGCCGAGATGCAATCTAATCAGGAAGCAATCCTCAGATCTCCGTAAGTGTCCGAACGTGGGACTATTCAACCTCTGATCGTCGCCCGTCTTGAGAGACCGCCGTGATGAGCAACAGACGGAGTTAGAATACTTCACATGGCGAATGCGGTCCCCGATCTTCTCGGAAAAGTGAGCGCTCGGACTATAATAGAATGAGCTGTTTTCGCCTAAGAAGACTCGCATAGAGTGAGTGTATTTTTGGCAGGCAACTTGAACGATTCTACTGGAGATCAGAATCCAGCGAGCAAACAGACGGACATTATCACCGATGTTTGCAATTTTGAGTATTAGTCACTGGACCGCTGCACATGCGCAAACGAGGAGCCCAAGCAATGACGGTAAGCAGCAGCTTTACGCGCGTGCCGAATCCCCATCTTCCTCTACCCGATGTCCGGTTTATGTGCTTCATCGTTGCTTCTCTGTCCATACTCAAATCAAACTCCAACTTGGCGATCAGAATTTTAGGTTGCTCTGCTGGGGAGCGGGAAATACACTGTATTGATTGAACTACTGGTGCTTTTCGTCCGAGTCAACCCCCGCCTCCGGGATGCCGTTCTCTATCGGTGGCGCTGGCGTTGATTTCCGGAGATTCATCCCGCCTGCCCATCCAAACCAGGTGTGTCGTGGGGCATGGGGGCCTCTCGCCAGGAGCACGAGAAGCTCCAGTCCTGCAAAAACCACGCGGATGCCCGAGGAAAGTTTGTATCCGCCAGAAACATAGAGCTTAGTTCCGATAGCGGTTCCAGCGACCTGGCCGAGAAAGATGGATCCGACAAGCAGAGTATTCAAACGCGCCCGAGCACTTGGATCGATCCTAGAACCGAAAAGAAAAGAGAAATGGTGAGGCGGGACGCTAAGGGTAAAAACTATGCGCACTCGAAAATGACTGCGGTCAACGAAACTTGAGTAGCTTGAGAACCGACATCAAGAACTGTCAAAAGATTAGAAAGAAAGAACACGTTCGCAACCATTTTCCTACTCAGCGTCGCAACAATAACAGCGGCGATGCTTTTCTCAGCCCCAAACGTCTCAACGATCTGAGACGCTATCACGAACCACACGGAAACAAAGGTCGCAGCCCACGGGACGAGGTTGTCTACCGCCCGTCCGATGAGTGGAGACATGCCTATTCCGGCCAGTCCGACAAGACCAAATATACCGATGACCAAACTGCAAGGTCTGAGCGCGGGGACGACATGAGAAAGAAAGGATCACACGTTGAATAGTTATAGGGCTCGCCGTCCAAAAGGAAAGTCATGGTAACCCAGAATCCCGAGAATACCGCCTCGCTGCAGAAAAAGATGAGGCACCCCTGAACAAGAATGGGCTCGGTCACTGCAAATTTTGCTAAGCTCGCCATGATCTGCCAGTACGAGAGGTGCTCGTTTTTGACCGGGACAGGTGGCGCGACGAGGTAGAGGACGATGGCGAGAAGGAATTGGCCTCCGGCGCCCATCCAGTATACATTGTGGTAGGATGAATATTGAGTGATGATCCCAGCGAGAACACGAGCAGCGAGAACGCCGGTGAGAAGACCCGCAATGACGAGGGCAATGAAAGTTGCGCGCCGGTTTGCCGGGGCCAGATCCGCAGTGAGCGGGATCAGAACCTGTAGTCTGTATGTGAGCCACCAAGAGTGCGCAGACGAGGAAATCCGTACCTGAGGCGTCACGGTGGCGACTGCCGTTAAGAAAGAAAGGACTTCAAAGGCGACCAAGGATCTTGTCAATGCCAAACCGACAGTGAGGGCTCCCGAAGTTACGATGAGAATTAGAACGAGCTGCCGCCGATGGAATATGTCTCCTAGCGGTGCTATGAACAGCAAGCCAGTGGCATATCTGGGAAGCAAAGTCAGACCAAATTCCAAGGGTTGTCATCAGAGTACTCACCCGGCCTGGAGAAGAATTGGAATCCGCGAGACTTGGAAGTCGTCGACTTGGAACGCTTGCGCCAGTTGTACTGCCAAACGAGGTCAGCCATTTCAAATGAAGGAACGCGCGAAACGACGAACCGAGAATGGGTTGGCAGTAGTACAAATTCATCGCTTTGAACAGAAAAGATCACTTTCAGAGAACAAAGATGTTTGTGCTGCCTACCAGCTTCGAGTCCGGTCAGTACAACGGTCCGATGAAAAACCCGTGGAAACTCACTGAAAGTAGCCGCGAATGCAAACGAAAGGACTCTCGCGTAACCGATCTCACCAGAGCTATCCAGATGGGCGCACCGAGGCACAGGCAGGAACCCAAAGTCGCGTCTCGTGGTAGCAGAATTGGTCGAATCCGCTGGAGGATTGGGGCCGATTATCGATGGCATTATTTGAGTCTCTGAATCAGCGGGCATCGTGATGGACGTGAAAGAAAAGGAACGTCGTGAGAGACCTGGCCTCGCAGAAGGTCGAGTATTTGTAAAGGATGGGACCTCGCGACAAAAGAGTACTCACGTGAATCTATAGTCAAGTTGCCACGACTTGGCATGACTCATCTCGGCTCGAGGTGTCCGCGCAGCCGCCGAAAACTTCTGAGCTGAGTGCAACCGGTAACTTGATCTATGGGTGATACCGGATTTGAGTGCAAAAATGCCTATTCTGGAAGCTGAGCCGGTTTGACAGCTCCCCGTGACATCTGTGCCGAGCCGGCTGCCCTTGAACTCTCCCGTTTTCCGGTGAACATCACAGCCTGGTGCCAGAACCATTGCGTCCCACATGTCGAGGTACAGTGGCCGCTGCCATTCGGGGGAATCTAGCAGCTATAACTCTGCACCCCCGACCATCCGGGGACTTGGCCAGCGAATCAGTACGTGCAGGTATCCTTGAACTCAGAGCGGACGACTCCGCAAACGATCTGAGAGCTGATGCAGATAGTTAAGAAACGTGTTGAAGCATGTACGGCGTTTTTTGGGCATGCGACAACTCGGCATGATCGTATGGCCTGCAAAACAGACTCAAAAAAACAGTTCCTAGCTCTAATTGACCATCGATCGCGAATCAAGCGATCTGCTCCGTTTGAAATTTCTCATCGAGCGCAACAGTGACTCCGCCCACACCCGATGATTCTCTTCGGGATCTCATCGTCATTGCGCCGAAGTCTCTTGACACGATACTCACTGCTTCCAACGGCCGCCGCATGGTAAACCATCGCCTTTGCGCACCCGTCCACTCCGTAGCTAGAACTCTTCTGGATCATTTGATATATGAACATCTTCGCAAAGCAATACTACAGCCGAACTGGCTCGAGTGCTGCTGGCGTCTGTATCGGTGCGGCGCAAGCTCCGTATTGACTGCACCTCCTTCCGGGTATCATGGGGTGGAAATCTCGATTTCAAGCCAGGACCAGCATGTGGTATGTAACACAGTGAGTGCGTCGTTCAGACTATCCTCCCTCCAAAGACAGAAAAAACGGCGGATGTTGCGACAGCGCAGCGCGCATGTCCTCAGGATACTCTTTAGCTTCAAAATCAAGCCTATCTTGCGCGATGGACATTCCAATCCAGTCGCGGCGAGCATCGCGATTCCGATGTTTGCATGTTCTAAGGGCAACCAGTACTATAGATAGCGTTTGTATTCAATACCTGTCCGGGACGAATCGTCATCTGAAGACTCACGAAATCGCTGTTGGCGGCGAGATGCTTTGTGGGCAGGTGTATTCCATCTCGAATGAGGCCAATGCATCATTTCTTTTGTCTGGCTCGATTTTGCCCAGCATAGCACTTCCAACACTCATCAAGTGTGCGCTCTTCGGCCCATCGAGTGCGGTTCAAGTGCTGAGGCGACCGCAAAATCTTTTCTATTCTGTGGTTCTGGCTCACGGGGACATTCAAGCTATTCTTGACCACTGCGGACCAGGTTGTCGTTTTTTTTGGGGGGACAATCTCACGAACCTGGGGCTGATATCCATGCAGAAGAAGGATCTGCCCGACAGCTAGAAGCTCATTGATTCTATTCATTAGTCTATTCAAGATCTTGTTTCTTGTGCGCCGGTGCATCATTGGCTGAAATGGGAGAACAGATAAAGCGCATTCTTCGTCGTCACGATCGGTCTTTGCCTCGGCGCGTTGACTCCTCGACCGAAGCAGACTTTGTTCTTCCGCACCTGTCATGTGGTCTTCTGGTGGGTGACTCTGCTTCTCCACACAGTTGAATTTTTGCCATCCGGCGTATGTTTGATAACCGTACATCCATACTACTCATTTTCGGGCTCAGAAGTTCTTTCCGAGAATGAGACGGTCGGTCTGATTCTATTTGTGGAACATTCCTCTCCAAGCCATATCGGTGGCCAGCCTTCACATGTCGCAATTCAACAGATTACATTCCACCACCGGGGTACGGTCTTCTAGAGACCGCACGGTCCGTGGATCACTTTCGAGAGGTTACACGCTTCTGATTTCTAATTGATGTCTATCCTGTTCTTTGAAGCGTATCCGTGATCCGGTTTCCGCCCACCTTATTCGAAGTTATGGATTTCAGCCGGCCATTTCGGTCCATCAACTCACTACCTGATCTCGATGCCGGACCATGAGTGCACAGCAAAGTTCCGTGTTCTCTTTTCGTGTGTGCCTTACAAATGCGACGTGCGAATGCCATCACTCGAGATCAGAACGGAAAGCGAACCTAATTTTCAGAGGGAGCAATGATAGCGCAATACATCCTGCCACAAGTCTGGGTGCCTAAGACTAGCGACCACTCGGGGATCGAGACTCCTGCTGGATCTAGTCCTCAGCGATCTCGACCGTTGTCAAGCCGTAAGTGATTGTGAAATGTGTGTTGTATAAGACACTAAAAATACTTTGCACAGATATTCTCTGATTACTATGGAGCGTGTGCTTCTCTCATAGCCGACAGGCAGAATCGTGTAGCCGGACCTCTGACAATCCCATGGTCCACGGAAGGTTAGTCTGAGACCTGAAGTTTTGAAATTCCGCAATTTTTTTCCAGCATGTATATGAGTATGAATAACCCTGGATTGAATGCATCCAACACAATATCAGGCATCTTAAGTCTGATAGAACTTGAAGGCAGCCCTAATCCAATGTCCTTTTGTCTGGCAAATTGTTGACTACCTTCCTTGCCCATTTATTGAAGATTTCCATCAAGGGGTGGCAGATCACAGATCATGGTGCAAATAAAACAATTCAGGTGTAATAATTGGGATCACACAAAGTGATGGTATCACAAACATTCAAACCGTTTTCCATGCAAGTGATGGTCTGGGGATGCATTACACATGGCTGGAAGAGGCAATTGGTTTTTTTGGAGTACTCTGGTTGCGAGGGTGGTGGAATGAGAGCAACCAGGTACAGAGAGCAAGTTCTGGATGGTGTGCACTGTCTTGGTCAATACTGTCAAGGATTTGAAGGAGAAACAGGAAGAAACTTGTTTTCAGTAAGATGGTGCAGCCCCACACAAAACCAGGGTGATGCACCTGTGGTTTTCCTCCCACTGAATTCCCCACTTTTCACATCCTGTCAACCCTCCCAACATCAGCCCTATTGAGGCTGTGTGGAAGGAGCTCCAAATCTGGATTTGGAGGTACCAACTCTACCCAACAACAGTGAAACACTCTGAGAGGTGATTATGGAGGAACGGGAAAGACTGTCCCCTGAGGATATAACCAAGCACACTTGCTCAATTTAGACCAGGTGGATAGTGTCTTGAAGGCAGTACTGTGACAATCAACCCGAAAACAAAGTAAAACAAAGTCGAAAAGAGAAGTGAATTCAAAGACTGGAGAATACAACCAAGCAGCAGTATTTATACCCAAATCCAGTCTGAGTCATATCTACAACTAATGAGTCATAAGACTATGTACTGCATGGAGCGCTGGTCATGGGTCATAGTAGAACCTTCTGGAGCATGTGTCATGCAGCCTTGAATCCATAGAGATATCCCCCTGGGCCCCTGGTCCAGACCGTGTGATCCATGATAAGATAAACCGTGCCAAGATAAGATAAGATTGTTGATGATAAGATGAAAAAGTGGCCAAACTATGACAAGTACATGCAAAGTCTTTGGACACCATGGCATTTGCTAAAGCTCAGAGGAGCTTGTTTGCATTCTCTAACATAACCAGCTGTGTGTTGAAGTGTGGACATGATTCTCCAACAACTTGCAAGAATTGATTGCTCCTTTGCAAGAGCCACAAAGTCCAGTCTTTGGAGGTATACCAAGTTTTTTCTACTGATGAATTTTTCTTGTCTGCACTAGTAGAAACTGGAGAAGGAGAGGAGAAGAAGCAATACTATATATTCACTGTGACACAGTTGAGTAAGACTCTAGCCACATAGACAACTATCCAACACCAGTTCTGTTATATCAGGAGGAGCTTCAAAAACATCGAAATCTTGCTTAGAAATGAGCAACTGTCTGGCACAAGGGATTGGTTGAATACCTGACTGTCCTGTATCTCCATGACAAGATATTTTTTCCAGGAACATCTCAGTTGCCATCACTGTCAGGGGACACTGCGCTCCTGAGGCATGTGACCTTGCATGTGACCCACTGTATTGTCATAGTTTGACCGCTTTTTCATCTTTTCATTGATCATCTCATCTTATCTTGACATGGGTTATCTTGTCATGGATTGCAGCATCACACAATCTCAGTTAGGGGCTCAAAGGTTTATCTGTATAGACTCAAGGCTGCACAACATATGCTCCAGAAGGTTCTACTCAACCCATGACCAGTGTTTCATGCAGTACATAGTCTCATGACTCACTAGTTGTAGATATGACTCAGACTGGACTTGGGTATAAATACTGTAGCTATTGTGTTGTATTCTCCAGTCTTTGAATTGACTTCTCTTTTTAGCTTCATTCTTTGTTGATTCTCATACCCAGAGCCATTGCACTTATTTGTTCTTATTGTTCTTATTGTTCCTATTGTTCCTATTGTTCTTATTGTTCCTGCATAGTCTATTGTTCTTGTACCATATAAATGGTGGACACCTGGCAAGGAAAATCCCCAACACAGCTTCTCTTTGGACTCTCCCTTGCCAGGTATCACTGCACTCCCAGGTAGGCTTGACCCTGTGGTGACAATAAAAGCCAAGTGATGCCCAAGTGTCAGGCAAGCTGGTGATAGGCTGGCTACCAGACACCCTCTGCACCAGCTCTATAAGGGCGTATTTTTGCGCTTTTACAGAGTTTACTCTCGAACCATTTGGTGTATTGTGTTGCGGTTGACAGTGTTGCATTCAGTAGGGCTTAAGGGTCTACTGCCCAGTTGATGACTGTGGATAGTGTTGACAATAGCAAGGCAGTCAGACCACTACTGTGGAATTGGTCTTATGGGTCTACACCAGGCTCAGGGCTATTAGTGACAAACACTTGGACCGCGACAATTCCCCAAAAGGGATCTTTCATTGCGGCGACTTCTCAAAAGGGTCATTCTCTGCAGATGGGAACTTGGGCTGAAGGGCTGAGCAATGCGCGACATTCTCAATATTACAACTACTACTGGACAGGACTTGGCGTTACAAGATTGAACCAATCTTGTTGCAGCAATTCCCGGTTTTGGCTGAGACATTTCCTCATATCGTGTCACGACGACGACTTGTCACATGTCAGGATCCATTCGATCACGGGACATTGTGGACGCGTCACAGTGACACTTCCAGGTGTCACAGCAAGTTGTGCCCATACCCAAACACACTAAAATTGACACGGGCTAGATCCGTGAACCAAACCATGTGAGAAACGGCTGGCATGCCTAGGGCCATACGGCTTCTTGGGGCACCCACGTTGGACTCACCCGCCAAGACATACCAGTTGGCCAATCCAGCACGTCGTATTCCAAAAGTATGACGCGGTGGGTTGTCCCATATCAAAAGCACCATATGGACAATGGGGTGGGGTCCTGATCAGTCAGGACCTGTCTGATTGTTCAACTTTTCATTACCATAAAAAGCAACCAATCTTAGATAGTGTAGCTACTATGCAGTTGTACAGGACTTTACTAAGCACCATCATAGACAGTATAAGTAGCGCAACATTTCTTTGTATTGGGGAGCTTTCCCCTGGACCGTGAATCATACCCATTTCAGATTGTTTTGTACAATTTGCGTGTCATGTGATTCCTCCTTAAGAAGTTCTATTATCCCTGCCTGGTTGCGACGAGTTGCTCCCTGAGCACTTGTAGCTACTGTGATTTGAGTTTGAGTTGAGACATCAGGAAGTCAGATTTGCCGCTTCTGGTTTTGTCATGGCACCTTGTGTTGTTGCTTTGGGTTGCGTTGAGATTGTTCCACACCTCTAGCTTGGCAGTGCATTGACTAGAGGTGCTTGGGTAGTTTTGGTCAGTTGGCAGTACGTCAACTTGATACTTTGGTTGTGTCAGTTGGCAGTGCATCCGCTTGATATTTTGGGCTTTGCGTCACCATCTGGATGCTGATGCTACAAGGGATCTTAATACTTCATATTAAGCTCTGACTTGTGATATTTTTGGTTGTGGTTGGATTAGTGTTAGTTTTGGCTGTATAGAAGATATCAGTTGAGACACCATTGTTTGCTATATATATATTCTTGCACATTGACTCTGTCTTCCACGACTGTTGGATCCTGCATCTATTGAGAGTTGTGATTCTGGTGTTCTGTTCACCCCAAAGCCCTTGCATCTTTCACACACTGAGAAGCTGATTACGAGGAGTGTGAACGTGTTTATATTTAGGTTTAATTTCACAGTAGATTCACTTATGAGCACGCCCTCAGCATTTCACCAGGTCTAGAAGGGTCAAAATGTCTCAACGCCTGGGGGCTATTCCAGTAGACCACATGCAGGGTTGATAAAAGGTGAGCCAAGTGCTGATTGATTAGACCCTGTGGGAGCAACATGTGTTTAGCGGCTTTGCCTCCTGTCACCTGCATCTAGCCCACAAGAGCACGAGGATGGAAAGATCTGGATTGGGTACAGAAATGATGGTGCCCCCCTGTATAGCCACTGTGCTGTAATGCACAGCCAACAACTTTTGGTCAAGACATTATGGCCCTGTCATGATAATCTTTTCCCTTTCTGTTGAACAAAATTTCAGGCAGCGTCAAATTCAAATGCATACTCTTGGCTTCTAGTATTCTCTTGTGAGATGACTGCTCTCAATGTACCCAAAAAAAATTGACTGCTTATGTGAGCATTGATAGCCCAACTATGGACCGTGATGGCCTATCAAAAGATCACCAGACGTCAAGCTTGCATGGTCTCACTTGTGTACCAGATCCAGATCTCCCTGTCCTTGTGCACAAGGGCCTATCAGTGGCTTGCTATCCTGATCATGATGGTTTATGCAATTTTTGATCACATTCTTTGTAGTGTGGAGCTGTCGAGGTGGGAAGAGATGGAGGGCTAGACATGTCTGAGTGATGTCTGATCAGTGCCGAGTGATGTAGACCTTAACTCAACCCATGCTAGACACTAGATGCCCCGGAGGGGCTACAGCACTTGTACCCCACCTGGGGGCAAGCAGGGGCTACTTGACTCGACCCCAGCAGGGTCAAGCCTACCTGGGAATGCAGTGTATGCCGGTCTTGTACCTGCTTACCCCATTTTCTCACCTTTGGATTCTCCCTTGCCAGAATTCTGAGATAAGGTCTCAAGGTTGCCCTCCATTCCCCCACAGCCCTGCTCCTTGTCATTGGGGTCTACAGTCAGAACAGGAAGGAGACCATGCCTCCCATGGGGATTCATTGGGCACACATAGATGTAGCTCTTCAGGTACCCAAGAGGTTCCTTCAGAATCTCTAACACAGTGTTGGTAATAGTTACAGGGGCTCCTAGGGAAACTGTCAAACACTAAATTTATTATTAAGCAGCCTATCCTGTTGCAATTTCTGATATAGGGCAAACAGCTAAAAGCCTTGCACTTATTGCTGGCATTGATTTCCAAGGCCTTTGAAATGGATGGAAAATGTCTGCTGACTGATGATAGCTTTGCAAGAGAACTCCTGAGCAACTGGAAAGTTCCGGAATCTGGGAACACAGATAGCCCGAGGTTCAAATGCATCGAAAATTCCTGTGGACTTTGTTTGCCACATATTGTGATACTCACTTGGTATTCAAACCTCATTGGTTCGAATCACAGACAAAACTCTAGGCTATGAATTCCATCAAGAAGGTTGTCATCTTGAAGTTCACATCGAGATCCGAGTCAAATGATCAATGCACACGCTCTCGAACCAGTTCAGATCCGAAATCGGAATTGGCGGAACTGTGCCGTAATACTCTTGCACTCGCCAGTTGTATCGAACGTAGCAATATACCTTCCGACTGCCAACGACATCATGCACGAGAAGGTAATCACGTGTCGATATGATGGCTTAGAATCTGATTCTGGAATGCAGAGGATCACGCGGCGTCACTCGCAGTCTGTATGAGATATTTAAGGCGAAAGGGATTGAGGGGCAGAAACTACAGATCCCAAACCACCACATCATGGGAGATATCGCCAGCATTCGGTCCTTCAGCAAGTCCGCAGTCCTGCACAAGACATACAAGACGCCGCCTCTGGCAGTTAAAGCCTACGGGATCTACTATGACCTCGAAGACGGCAGCCGCGTCACTGACGCAGTGGGTGGGGCGGCCGTCGTCTGCATAGGCAACGGACACCCGGCCGTCGTCGAAGCTATTCGCGAACAGGCGGGGATCCTGAACTGTGGGTGCCAGTAGTCGCCTGCGTGTCTAGATCGTGTTGCTCACTGCCGCCGTCTGCCCAGTCACCTTCCACACGCAGCTCACGAACACCCCGACCGAGATGCTCGCACAGAACATCATCGACAGGTCCCAAGGTGCCTTTGCACGCATTGCCTTTGCGTCCGGTGGTAGCGAAGCTGTCGAAGGCGCTCTCAAGACTGCTCGCCAGGTGAACAAGCCCGCGTCTGCATCTGCATCCCAGTCGTTCTGAAACAACACACGCACAGTACTTCTGGGAACTTGGCCAGACGCAGCGTGTGAACTATATTGGGCGCAAGTCGTCCTACCACGGCGCGTCGCTTGGTACGCTGAACGTCGCGTGGAACGCAGCACGCCGAGCGCCGTACAACGACATCCTCGATAGCAAACGCTTCCACCACGTGTCCCCGGCGTACGCGCGGCGCTACCAGCGTGAGGGCGAGTCCGAAGCGCAGTTCGTTGAGCGCCTGCGCGCCGAGCTCGAGGCCAAGTTCATTGAACTCGGGCCGCATACTGTCATCGCATGTGAGTATTGGCCCACTAAGAGCAACAGAAGCGTGACCTGACGCACACCCCCAGTCGTCGCTGAGACCGTCGGAGGAGCCAGCTCCGGCGTCGTTATCCCCCCGAAAGGGTACTTCGCCGCCGTGAGATCCGTCTGCGACAAGTACGGCGCACTCCTGATCCTCGACGAGGTCATGTGCGGAATGGGTCGTGCGTACCACCAGCTTCCCATCCACCCGTCCCCCCGCTGACAGACATGATCCAGGCATGGGCACGCTCCACGCGTGGGAGCGCGTTGCCGACGGCGTCTCGCCGGACATCCAGGCCGTCGCGAAGGGCCTTGGCGGGGGATACACGCCGATCGGCGGCGTGCTCATCGCGCCGCGGGTCGCACGCGTGCTGAGCGAGGGTTCCGGCGTGTGGCAGCACGGCTACACGTACCAGGCGCACCCGCTCTGTTCTGCGGCCTCCCTCGCTGTTCAACGTGTCATCATCGCCGAGAAGCTGCTGGAGAACTGCACGACGCAGGGCGACCTGCTCGGCACGCTCTTGAAGGAAAAGTTGGAGGCCGACGGAGCACTTGCGCGGAACTACGTGGCCGAAATCCGCGGTGCCGGCCTTTTTTGGGCTATCGAGTTTGATGCGAGTGCGCTCGACTTGGGAGGGAAGCGGTTCGCGTTTGTGGTGGAGGAGCGGTGCTTCCAGGCCGGACTTATGGTGATGGGCATGAGCGGTGGGGCAAATATCGAGGGCACCCAGGGAGACCATATCATGTTTGCACCCGCATACAACATCACCGCGGACGAGGTCAGAGCGATCGTTGACGTGGTGGTGGGTTGTGTCGAAGAGGTCGTCCGCGAGGGATTGGCGAAGAAATAGCTGATGGAGAATTGTTGTAAAATAGGAGAATTCAAACATTCAAAACTTCAACAGAGCAAGCAAGAGCTGAAGAGTAGAAACACTCTGTGGGAGATTGAGCCAGAACAGGAAAAGCTCAGCTGATAACAGGGGATCAAATCATCCAAGTCACAGCGTCACATAGGAGTCTTTCCCCCATCACCGGAAAGACCATTGGCCGTAGGCTCCCTTCAAGCCTCTCTAATAGTTATAGCAGAGTCTCTCCCAGGTATTTGGAGCCGCCTATCATAGAGGGTTAGTTCAACATTGTATTCGTCCGGGAATCCACCTCGGAGTGTGAAATCTGACAACCTGTCGCGCAAGGGCGTGCTTGTGATCCTTGTGATGGTGGCAGCACTTTGACCTCGGTCTCGACAAGCGTTGCAAGCCATGTCTTTGCCAAGAGAGCTCGAAATTAATATCAATAAGCAATGTCAATGAAGCCAAATTTCGGAAATTTTATACTCATTTTATCTTAAAATGTGCCTACTGTCCTAGTTCGCTGGCGGTCACAGGTGACACTCTCAATTCGAAGTTTGATAGGACCTGGTGATAGGCTGGCTACCAGACGCGCTCTGCACCAGCTCTGTAAGGGTGTATTTTTGCGCTTTTTACAGAGTTTACTCTCGAACCATTTGGTGTATTGTGTTGCGGTTGACAGTGTTGCATTCAGTAGGGCTTAAGGGTCTACTGCCCAGTTGATGACTGTGGATAGTGTTGACAATAGCAAGGCAGTCAGACCACTACTGTGGAATTGGTCTTATGGGTCTACACCAGGCTCAGGGCTATTAGTGACAAACACTTGGACCGCGACAATTCCCCAAAAGGGATCTTTCATTGCGGCGACTTCTCAAAAGGGTCATTCTCTGCAGATGGGAACTTGGGCTGAAGGGCTGAGCAATGCGCGACATTCTCAATATTACAACTACTACTGGACAGGACTTGGCGTTACAAGATTGAACCAATCTTGTTGCAGCAATTCCCGGTTTTGGCTGAGACATTTCCTCAGATCATGCCACGGCAACGACTTGTCACATGTCAGGATCCACTTGATCATGGGACATTGTGGACGCGTCACAGTGACACTTCCAGGTGTCACAGCAAGTTGTGCCCATACCCAAACACACTAAAATTGACACGGGCTAGATCCGTGAACCAAACCATGTTGTCATAATTCGACTCTTTTTCATCTTATCATCGACGATCCTATCTTATCTTGGCATGACTTATCTTATCACGGATCACGGCATCAGACGGTCCGGGCTAGGGGTTCCAGGGGTTATCTCTATCGATTCAAGGCTGCGCGACGTATGCTCCGGAAGGTTCTACTACAACCCATGACCAGCGTTCCATGTGGTACATAGCCCTATGACTCATTAGTTGTAGATATGACTCAGACTGGATTTGGGTATAAATACTGTAGCTACTTGGTTGTATTCTCCAGTCTTCGAATTCACTTCTCTTTTCGACTTTGTTTTTGGGTTGATTGTCACATAATTCGAAGACTCCCCTCATACCCTCATACCTCTTACCTCCTACCCTGCTCCGTGCACCGCTACGCCCACTATATCCTCTTCACCCTTACCACCCTACTCACCCTTTTACCGAATCATCTAGTCGCTCACTGCGATCGCAGTGAAAGGTTCATATCGAGCAAACAGCACCAGGCCACGGGTAACGTTGAGCCCGACCCAAGCCTTACGGTAGCTACAAGGAGTGCTGCGGAGACCTTCGGGAAAACGCACCTCGGGATCATCGGGCACGTGAAGAGCTAGGCCCGGGATCTTTTTGCTAGCAAAAGAACCTTTCCTCGAGTGCTTGTACAGCACACGAATCCACCATTTCGTACCGATTCCCATCATCATCTGGGAGCCCATCCCCTCCCCCCATCATACCATCGTCGCCCGATCTGGCGCATCAAAACGAACCCGGACCCTCCAACCCCTACCTCGCCCTCCCGCCGCCTGAAGACAAGATCCCCGACCTTGGCGAGTTACCCTCCGAACAACCACCCTCGCCCCCACCTACCGCACCTGCTCCTACCATGTCAGGACATCACCGCATCACTCTCGCTGCCAACCCCCCCTACTTCGATGGCGACAAGTCCAAGTACCTGGGCTTTGTGGACGCGTGCACCACTTACATCGGTGCCTATCGGTCAGAGTTCTCGCTGGACGAGACGAAAATCCTCTTCGTCCTGTCCTACCTCCGCAATGAGAGCGGCACAAGCTGCGCCGCCTCAAGATGGGCGATGAACTGGAAGCAGCACAATTTCGAGGGCTTCCAAGGACTAAAGGCAGGAGTCACCGCGACAAGCTTCTTGGAGGAGCTTCAGAGGGCCTTTGGGGATTCTAACGCAGAGCAAGTCGCTGCCGCCCGACTCATGGCCCTTCGCCAGGGCAGACGGTCCTTTGCGGACTACATCTCTGACTTCGAAATGCTGGCTGCGGACGCGGGGTACAACGTGGTCGCCTCAACCGATGACAAGGGCGAGTACAAGAAGGGGGATCAGGACAACATCCTCATCGAGTTCCTCGAGCGCGGACTCAGCAGCGAAATTGCAAGCCGCCTCTACAACACCGGCGTCCCCCTGCCCAAGGCATATGGTGCCTTCAAGAACTGGTGCGTCAACATCGAGGCCAATGCCTTGCGCGATCAGCTGCGTAAGGCATCCTATGCGCACTCAACTCCGCGGCCCCCACCCCAATTCCGCCCTCAGGCTGCACCATCAGCACCTGCACCCGCTCCGGCCCGACCAGCGGCCAATGAGCCGGTTCCGATGGAGATCGATCGCACCCACGCCCGTGGCCGCAATATCATCTGCTACAACTGTCAGCAGCCTGGGCACATTGCGCGGAACTGCCCCGAGCCCAAGAAGAAGCGCACGTTCTTCAATCGGGCCACAATGCTAGAAGAGATCGAGAACGGGGACAAGGACAACGAGTTCCTGAAGGAGATCGCCGAGAAACTGCGTGAGAAGGGTTTTTGAAGCGCTCCACTCCTCTAGCCAAGGAGGTGGAGCGTCCGGACTATGGACGTTTTTCTGTACTTGTTTCGATTAAAGACATGAACGATTCTACACATACATATACAATCTCGGACTCACTACGTACCAATATTCACGATTTTCTCATTGCCGATATGGAAAAAGAACGCCAAAGAAAAATAGCTTTAAATAGAGAATATTTACAGAGTAAAAAGGATCAGAAAGCTGCAGATAAATTAATTTTGGATTCATACGTATTTATGGCTCGTGAAGAAGGAACCACGTCAACAAAGACCGAAAAGGGGAGCATCGCTCCGGAGGCTCAATCCTTGAAAAAGGAGGAAGCGCCCAAGGAATCTGCCGAAATCAGGATTCCAGAAGCACCCAAGCGCACAAGGGTGCCGGATGCCGTTCAAAGGAAACGGGCAGCCGAGAGACAGAAGGGCCCCCAGCCCAGCAGACTGGCACAGGAATTGCGCGACTACCAGGCCGAAAGGAAGAGACATTCGATGGACGTATATGTCCAGATCACAGGCCTGGACTCAGGAAAGACGCGCGGAGTCAAGGCGCTACTCGATAGTGGCTGTAGCACCTGCTGCATCGATACCGACTACGCGCGGGCAGAGAAGCTGGATATCCAAGAACTTCCCCAACCCATTGTGGCTCGTAACGCCGACAACACCGAGAACATCAACGGGCGGATCACGCATTACGTTGACCTAAGGATGAGAATCGGTCCTCACGTGGAGACACGCACGTTCCTTCTGACGTGCTTGGGGAAGGCCCGGATCTTCATTGGTCTTGACTGGCTGACGGAACACAACCCGGAGGTGGATTGGCAGGAGCAAACGATGAGATTCAGCCGATGCCCAGAACGGTGTCACATGAGGGGTCACGAGGAACACCAAGCGATGATTGACATGGATGCAATCGACCTGGACACGAGCGCACCGGATCTGGAAGAGGGAGAATCGATCCTGCTGATCGACTTTGGAAAGGAGGTAGATCTACGGCTGAAGGAAACACCGGCGCAGAAATTAGCAGAAGAAGCGGAAAAAGAGAAGGAGAGGATGACCGAAGGGAAAATTCCGGATCAATACCGGGAATTCGTCAAAGTATTTGCCAAGGAATCATTCGACTCGCTACCGGACCGACGAACCTGGGATCATGCGATTGAGCTCAAACCCGGTTCCAAAGCAGTGGACTGCAAGGTGTACCCGCTATCACGAAACAAGCAGGTCAAACTCGACGAGTTCCTACAAGAGAACCTGGCCAGCGGACGAATCAGACCATCAAAATCACCCATGGCCTCAGCATTCTTCTTCGTCAAAAAGAAAGATGGTTCACTACGTCCCGTCCAGGATTATCGGAAGCTGAACAAGATGACAATCCGAAATCGGTACCCGCTGCCGCTGATCTCCGAACTGGTCCATAATCTATGCGGCGCCAAGTTCTTCACCAAGCTCGACATCCGATGGGGATACAATAACGTACGGATCAAAGAGGGTGACGAGTGGAAGGCTGCGTTCCGCACGAACCGTGGACTGTACGAGCCCTTGGTCATGTTCTTTGGTCTCACGAACTCCCCGGCTACCTTCCAAAACATGATGAACGACATACTCCGAGAACTGATCAACGAGGGTCACGTGGTAGTCTATCTGGACGATATACTGATCTTTACAGAGAACTTGGACGAACATCGGCGGATCACGAAACGAGTGCTCGAATTACTCCAGAAGCACAAGCTATACCTGAAGCCCGAAAAGTGCGAGTTCGAACGCACGGAAATCGAATATTTGGGTGTAATCATTGGACACAATTCGATGCGGATGGACCCAGTCAAGATCAAGGGCGTGATGGAATGGCCGGAACCAAAGAGCGTCAAACAAGTCCAAGCGTTTCTAGGGTTCACAAACTTCTATCGGCGCTTTGTCCGGGGATACACGGAGGTTGCCAAGCCATTGACACGGCTGACAGGGAAGGCAGGATGGTCATGGGGTGCAGATGAGCATGCGGCATTTGATGGATTGAAGAAGAGAATCGCGGAGGATGCGGTCCTAGCACTGCCAAATGACACTGGCCAATATCGTCTGGAAGCCG